AATCATATCTGAGAGAAAGTGACTGTAGACGAGATGCCATGTCAGGACCGATCACATTGCATATCCGTCTTTGGATTTTATCAGGGGCCTCGAGATGGACAGCGGGGGCACCAGACCATATATGGCAACAGTATTCAATGCAAGGACGAATGGTAGATTATTAGATTTGAAGGATGGACTCAGACAAGAAAGAGCTCCTGGTGCGACACAGAGAACTAAATTTCCTTGCGGTAGATGAAGCTATAGATTCAATGTATTTATTCCACCTCAGGTCAGTGGAAAGCGTGAGACCAAGCAGGCGCAGGGAGGCGCTGTCGTGGAGTTGGGCATTAGCTATTCTGATGGGAGGCAGGGTGGGTTCTCAATGGTGGGTAACTGAGAGCAGTTTCAAAATTAAATCTAAATTTTGTTTTATTTTATTCATTAATGATTTCTAACTGCACCTTTAGGAAGCTATCATGGGAAATATGGGATTTAGAAAATAAAAAAAAACAAAAATTTTAAAATAGAAATTTTTATTAAATATTTTTCTCCTAGAAATATCACAGCGTTTGTCTTTTTGCTCTGAATCATTTCGAACACAGTGAACTAATGATTCGATTTATGTATTTACATTAGTGAGGGTACAGTTACAAAACAATAAATAATTTAAGATGAATGATAAATGTTTGATTATAAAATACATTGTAGTAAATGATTTACTGAAATTTGCATTTAAATGATTTACTATAAAACGCATTGTAAATGCTGACTATAAAATGTGTTTCAAATGATTTACAATAAAATGCATTGTGAAGGATTTATAAGATGCATTGTATATGATTTTTATAAAAAAGATTGTAAATGATTGTCTACAAAATATATTTTAATGATTTATTATAAAATGGATTTTAAACGATAAATTATAAAATGCGTTCTAAATGATTTACTTTAAAATCTTTTAAATGATTTATTATGAAGTACATTATATAGGATTTACTATACAATGAATTGTAAATTATTTACTATAAAAATAAATTGCAAATATTTAACATAAAATGCATTGTAAATAAATTGCTATAAAAATACATTGCAAATATTTTACGATAAAATGCATTATAAATGATTTGCTATAAAATACAGTTACAAAACCAGTGGGAGATAAATGAGACCAGAAAGATTGTATTGCATCAGACTGACTTATTGCTTCATGTGCCTGCCTTTAAAATTATCGTTCGACATCTTTACTTTTACCATTGTTCAACCATCGACCACAAGCGCCGGTGGGAAATGCATGATTCATAACTATATCAACTAACAAGCGACCATTTTTTTGTACTTCGCCGATGCCTGCTTTATTAAGCAATGCAGTGGGTGCGCAAATTTTATATTGAAAACATATTCCTTTCCCAGTAGACAGCCTATCCTGTCGCTCTAACAAAATATAAGAGACGGGTTTGAAAAGAAAAGTTGGATAGAACTTAACAATGATATTTAAATTCATTGATCACTGCTACGTATTTACAAACCCGGAAACAGTATTATTTGATTTTTTTGCACACCGCAGCCAGGTCATTCTGACACTGAATAGAAATATCGATCAATTCGACAAGAAACGAACAAACTGACACAAGAACATGGCGTCTGGTCAAGGCTATCTTCAGGTAGTTCTACGTATTTACAGACTTCTACAGGAATCCGTAAAGCCTTCAAAGACGGTTTATTTCTGCATGCAGCCCAATGCAATTGCTGACGTGTATTCGTTGCAATTTCAAACTGAGAGTAACTGGAGTTTTTCAGTAGAGATCAGGTGACAACAAGTCCTTGCAAAAAAATAGATTTCTCTTCAATATTTAAATTTATTAGTTTCAACATCTTTTCTTCCACACACGCAAGTTATTTTTTGTTGATAAATGTGTCTAAATATATATTCTATGATGTTAGTGATATCGCATCTTGTTCTTTCACGTACAATTCAATTATTAGACGCCCTGTTTCCATAGTAATTGTCGCATAGTAATCGCGTGTTCAATTCCCAGACCAGGTAGTAAAGACTCAGACTTAGGAATAGAGATATGGTTTTAGACGAATGAGAAAATTAAATAAAGATTTCAGTTCGAAATTAGCTGATGGTTACCCGAATTAAAAAACAAAAAGGGTGAACCCGAAAACTACTTCTCTCCTTTCAGAATTATTTGCAATTTTTTTCTGGGCTTTATTTCATATGCACTACTTTCTTGTAAAAGTAGTATTATTCTTTTTGTTCCAATTTCTTCCTTATATACATATACATAATTTTTTCTTTGGACTCGAACCGAGTTGTTCATATTTGATTTTTCTGCTTGGCCTGATTCTAGCCCTGATGAACTTGCATGGAGACCAACTGAATCTTCAAGTACAAAATACTTCATCTCAGAAATATAGACAGATACTGAAAGGCCGACACGTTGTAATAAATATGGCAACAAAGACGAGGACAATAGTCCGAATAATGTAAATAATGTACATAATACCTCATCTCCTAAAAATAGACAGATACTGAAAGGCCGAAACGTTGTAATAAATATTACAACAAAGATGAGGACAATAGTCAGAATAATATAAATAATGTACATAATACCTCATCTCCGAAATATAGACAGATACTGAAAAGCCGAAACGTTGTAATAAGTATGACAACAAAGATTAGGACAATAGTCCGAATAATGTAAATAATGTACATAATACCTCATCTCCGAAATATAGACAGATACTGTAAAGCCGAAACGTTGTAATAAGTATGACAACAAAGATGAGGACAATAGTCCGAATAATGTAAATAATGTACATAATACCTCATCTCCGAAATATAGACAGATACTGTAAAGCCGAAACGTTGTAATAAGTATGACAACAAAGATGAGGACAATAGTCCGAATAATGTAAATAATGTACATAATACCTCATCTCGAAATATAGACAGATACTGTAAAGCCGAAACGTTGTAATAAGTATGACAACAAAGATGAGGACAATAGTCCGAATAATGTAAATAATGTACATAATACCTCATCTCCGAAATATAGACAGATACTGAAAGGCCGAAACGTTGTAATAAATATGGCAACAAAGATGAGGACAATAGTCCGAATAATGCTTATCGTTTTCACCAATGAGTCGATTTCTTTCATGTCCTTCCGTATATCTTTAAGTCGTCCACATATAAAGCATGATTTATCTTAATTCTTCTATTACTTAAAGAATATACAAATTTTATTTTCAAGATCACAGAGCTATTGTTGCAAAGACGAATAACATTGGAGAAACACTGAAAAATTCACCTCTTCATTATTATTGTTAATCAGATTTTCTTTCGAGCGCATTTCCTTTTCAACGGGAGATTTTTGCACCATGTGTGTTCTCTATCAAGCCGTACGACATCAGACTGCACCTTTCGCAAAATAATTACAGTGCCAAAAAAAGCAGATTTCTAAAGCGATGGGGTACCCGTCTTCATTCCATTTTCTCCATGTCGGACTTGTCCGGTGGTACATACCCCATCACCCCCACCCTAACTGGGTGAATCTTGACCTGAACGTCCCACATTCAGACAATTTCAAGCAAGAGTATTTCCAGGCAATTTCAATCGGAGTATTTCTTAAATTTGTCAGTTTCTCTTAACTTTGATATTGTGGTCACCAGGAATAGACACACCCTGAATAGACACACCCGAAACAGACACACAGGGAATAGACACATCAATGAGAAGGCATTTTATTGTTTACTATTATTATAAGTCTAGTATATAAAAAATTCATATTGAATTTTGGAGTTCGGAAATAAATTAATTTATAATAATGCAATAAAAAAGAAAGTTTTTTTTTGTTTGTTTTTTTGTTTTTTTTATGGCGTAGACTATTCGTTTAATATTTGATATTGGGATTATAAGTTAATTTAATTTCCCGTTCCCATTGTTTTTAGAAAAGGGTCCACATAATATTTTTTCCCAAAGCGACCCCAATTATTCAGTTTGAAAATGTGAATGCCTAAATAGCTACAAGATAGTGGAGCCAAATTAGTTTCCCGTCTCTATGTGTATCCTTTCTGCCAGGAAGTCAGTTTATCATTCCCAATATTTTTCCAATGCATTAATTCGTGCAAATGAAAAAGCTTGATAAAAATTCCATCAAGAAACAATTTCAGCGCTTACTAATTTATAAATAATCAATAAGCAAACATGTATTGATATCAATACTTTTATTTCAATCATAAACTCGCTCGTAAATGTGTATATCTATGAATAAATAAACTTGAAATTGATAAATGGTAATTTTAATATTAGCTGTTTTCTTATAATGAAACATTTGGCATTTATTGATCGAACAGCCAGGGTTGAAATTTATAAAATCCTTCTATTATAACAATTTTTCCGAAAAATAAGTTTCTCAAGTATATTAACTGTTATCACTCTAGTTGTAATGAGACTTCCTTCCTAACCTTTTGTTTGAAGTAGTGTGAAACATCAACATCTTCATTGTGCCATTATTTTCTATTCAAGTTGCATGTGATATTCATTTTAATTGTTGTTGTTGAAAGTCTTCAAGTATATGGGGTTTCGGTTATTCGATACAGATCTTTGTTTGTCATTATTTAGCGCCAGTCGGCAAGGTTCGATGAAGTATAACCTCGCTAAGACCTACAGGCTTCATTCCTTTGAAAGCTCTTTTCAATCTTTTACCTGGGAAAGCGATTGTATACAGCAGACAGTTTGCATATTTCTGAAAGAGTTTGTGGCCATGCGTGACATCTATGTGGATGTCTCCATCTGACAAAAATATTGAAGAATATGACTCGAGTTTTTTAGGTTAATGTTTTGTAGCAATTTGTGGTATTGGAGAAAACTAACCCTAACCTTATTCTATGTTCAGTTTCCTTATCTCCTATACTAAACATTCCATACACCGAGGTGTTTGAAGTGTTTAGTATTTATTGATTCTACATCCAGAAAGTTTAAGAATTCCTGGCATATTTCTTCGTTGCTTTTATTCCAAGATAGATAGATAGATAGATAGATAGATAGATAGATAGATAGATAGATAGATAAGGAATAGACTGAGATAGCTAGCTAGATAATGAACAGACTGAGATAGATAGCTAGATTGATAGATAATGAACAGACTGATAGATAGATAGATAGATAGATAGATAGATAGATAGATAGATAGATAGATAAAGAACAGACTGAGATAGATAGCTAGAGAATGAACAGACTGAGATAGATACCAAGATTGATAGATAATGAACAGACTGTGATAGATAGATAGATAGATAGATAGATAGATAGATAGATAGATAGACAGACAGATAGATAGATAGATAGATAGATTTTGATTTTTTAGGTGAAAAAGATCAAAATTGGTAAAGTGTTTCCTCTTTATGTTGCTTCATAATGTTACTGTGAATAATTTATATATTTTTCTTTCAAATTATAGTATATTTATTATTAATATTAATATTATTATTATTATTATTATTATTATTATTATTATTAATATATTTCTGAACTTGCTCCTACGTTCGTCACAACTAAAGAACACATTAGAAATGTTGTAGTGTATGAGTTTCATAAAGGTGTCAGCACATCTCTCCAGCTCGTTAATTAGTTCGATGCATTAAATGAAACAAGTTGCAGAAGTTCTAGAGATCGAACCAAGTGAGAGTCGTCCAAAAGGACGATTCCGAATTTGGAAGCTGCTGTTAAAGCAAACCTTTCGCTACTTCTAGGGAACTCAGTGAGAAATTTAATGTTACTCATACAACAATCCTACATCAATTGAAAAGGATTGGAATCGTTTCAGTGGTTGGAAAAATGGGTCCCACACGTCATGTCTCCAGAGAATCACCAAAAATGTACCGATTGTTGTGAGTCATTGCTTACACAATAACTTCATTTGCGCTTTTTAGACAGGCATGTGATTGGTGATGAGAAATTAATCCGTTAAGATAATGTCAAGCGTCGTCATCAGTGGATTAGTCGACGAAACAAACATACTCAGCAAGCGTAAGGAGAACTTCATCCAAAGAAGATCATATCGAGTGCATGGTGGGATAGTTTAATAAATAGATCCTTTAAGATAATGTTAAGTCTCGTCGTCAGTAAATTAGTCGATAAAACAAACCTGCTCGGCAACCGAGAGGAGACCTTGATCCAAAGAAGATCATATCGTGTATATGTTGGGATAGTCAAATAAATGGATCCTTTAAGATAATGTTAAGCCTGGTCGTCAGTGGATTAGTCGATAAAACAAACCTGCTCGGCAACCGAGAGGAGACCTTGATCCAAAGAAGATCATATCGTGTATATGTTGGGAGAGTCAAATAAATGGATCCTTTAAAATAATGTTAAGCCTCGTCGTCAGTGGATTAGTCGATGTATCAAACCTGCTCAGCAACCGAGAGGAGACCTAGATCCCAGGAAGATCATATCGTGTATATGTTGGGATAGTCAAATAAATGGATCCTTTAAAATAATGTTAACCCTCGTCGTCAGTGGATTAGTCGATGAATCAAACCTGCTCAGCAACCGAGAGGAGACCTTGATCCAAAGAAGATCATATCGTGTATATGTTGGGATAGTCAAATAAATGGATCCTTTAAGATAATGTTAAGCCTCGTCGTTAGTGGATTAGTCGATAAAACAAACCTGCTCGGCAACCGAGAGGAGACCTTGATCCAAAGAAGATCATGTCGTGTATATGTTGGGATAGTCAAATAAATGAATCCTTTAAGATAATGTTAAGCCTCGTCGTCAGTGGATTAGTCGATAAAACAAACCTGCTCGGCAACCGAGAGGAGACCTTGATCCAAAGAAGATCATATCGTGTATATGTTGGGATAGTCAAATAAATGGATCCTTTAAAATAATGTTAAGCCTCGTCGTCAGTGGATTAGTCGATGAATCAAACCTGCTCGGCAACCGAGAGGAGACCTTGATCCCAAGAAGATCATATCGTGTATATGTTGGGATAGTCAAATAAATGGATCCTTTAAGATAATGTTAAGCCTCGTCGTCAGTGGATTAGTCGATAAAACAAACCTGCTCAGCAACCGAGAGGAGACCTTGATCCAAAGAAGATCATATCGTGTATATGTTGGGATAGTCAAATAAATGGATCCTTTAAAATAATGTTAAGCCTCGTCGTCAGTGGATTAATCGATAAAACAAACCTGCTCAGCAACCGAGAGGAGACCTTGATCCAAAGAAGATCATATCGTGTATATGTTGGGATAGTCAAATAAATGGATCCTTTAAAATAATGTTAAGCCTCGTCATCAGTGGATTAGTCGATGAATCAAACCTGCTTGGCAACCGAGAGGAGACCTTGATCCAAAGAAGATCATATCGTGTATATGTTGGGATAGTCAAATAAATGGATCCTTTAAAATAATGTTAAGCCTCGTCGTCAGTGGATTAGTCGATGAATCAAACCTGCTCAGCAACCGAAAGAACTTTATCCAAAGAAGATCATATCAAGTCTATGGTGGGGGAGTAAAAGAATAATCTATTATGAATTTTTAGAAAATAATCAAACAATCAACGCTAATATGGCTTACGACCACATCACGTCAAAACTCCAGTTCTCGTACGGTCACCGAAGTTAAGCAACGTCGAGCCTGGTCAGTACCCAGATGGTTGTCGACTTGGGAATATCAGCTGCTGTAATCTTAGATGTGCACGTGGTTTAATGGATAATGGCTCGTAATTTTTAATCGCTGAGCTTAGTTCCAATTCTAGTTATATTCCCTTCGTAATATTCACTTACGCGCAATACACTATGGAAAGGTAGGAATAAACCTCTTCACCCCAACTATGGGTTAGTCAGTATGGCTTGTATCAATAAACCATTATTACCTAAAAATATTTCTTACAATGTAAAAATATTTTCTGGCTGAAAATAACCTGCAAATGGTTGATAAGACGTAGGAAACGAATCATCAAAAAAATCAATGCTGATATCTACTGCCAACAACTTGGAGAAAAAAAGTCCATACTTAGTCAAAAGAAAAGGAATAATCCTCCATCACGATAATGGCCGTACTCACACTCATGATTGACCAAGAGGAGGTTGTTTGGGAAAACTTGCTTCATTCTCCATATTCTCCTGACTTTCCTCCTTCCGATTATCGCTTGTTTATGGGTTTGCAGAACAATTTAATGGACCTAATATTGACATCAGAAGGAGAAGGTTGAACATGATCTGATCTCGTATTTTATATCAAAATCTAAAGAATTTTATATTTACTATAAACTTGCTGGCAGATGGAATGAAGTTCTTGAAATCAATGGAGATTAGACTGATGATTAAATATTTCTATAAGCATTAACCTCTTCTTCTAAATAAATAAACGGCAAATTCTGTCTCTTCATCCATTTGCCTGAAACTAACTCGGGCCACATTAATCTGCATAGACGTATTATACCCTTTTTGGAATTTGGATGATCCACGGATTGAAAATCTGCCCTTAATCTGGTACTTGAACATCCAGCATTGGGATTTGTGTCCGAAGTTGGAGGGAACAATTTAAAATTCTGATTTAAAATAACTAAAATTCAGTGATTTAAATTTTTTAAAATTTATATTAAGTCTAATGTAACACAAAAAGTTTGTGAATTTAATAAAAATTGTTTTAAATTCAGTTTAAAATATCTCCAAAACTTTCTGAATTGAAGAAATCAAAGTTTCTTTCAAAATGACAAGGAAGCAGTTAAAGTGAGAGATTTCGTGACGTGAGGTTTTGAAGTTCTACAGAGTTTGTGATTTGAAGAACTCAAATCATTTAAACTTCCGTGAGTTTTTGATTTGAAGAATTCAGTTTTCGGCCTGAATTAGAATTTCAGCTCAAATCTGAGTTTCGGCATAAATCGGTTTTGGGCCAGAATTGGACGTGTAGACTGAATCAGAGTTAAAGTAAGTTTTTGAAGTTCCATGGAGTGAATTGAGGAATTCAAGATTATTTCTTCAAAATTATCATTGATGTTTTCTAAGCTAGACCAGAGGTCCCTTTAACTTCGAGCCAGAGGTCCAATTACCACCCACCCCGGAGGTAGCTTAAAAGTCCGCACGGAGCGCAACGTTTAAGCAAGTTTATAATATACCCGATAAAATTGAGTAGAACGTTCGTTACCTGATAGATAGATAGATAGATAGATAGATAGATAGATAGATAGATAGGCAAGTTAACAGGCAGTTGTAGCTGTCTTGTTTTGTGCTGACCCTTAAACCTACTGAAATAAAAAGGGAAACATTGTCAAATAGTCTGATAAATAGATATGAACAGACTGAGATAGATAGATAGATAGATAGATAGATAGATAGATAGATAGATAAGCAAGCTAATAGACAGATTGTATGTCTTGTTTTTTGTTGACCCTTAAACCTACTAAAATAACAAGCGAAAAATTGTCAAAAAATGACCTAGACATACATCATACTGGTTTCGGCACGTTCTTATTGAAGTTGATTTAATCCGATTTGCTGCATTATGTTTCGTAGGCGTTTTCCTTTTTCAACTCCTGCTTTTGATCTTGGTAGTTGATCTCCACCAACAAATTTCATTGTTAAGTAGACTGACTTTCAAAACCTCGACTTTGATGTTTTAATCTTGATCCGCTAACAAAAGCGCTTACTTATTTATATATATACATATAGTTATAAATATGCATATCTACAGACAGTAAATCTATGTATGAATATTAACTTCACACGCCTAGTGTTGTTAGCATTAAGGCATTCATCCACTAACAACTTTTTTTCAAGGAGAAATTGCAATAAAAGATAATTCTCCGGTCGTGTTCAGTGTCCAGTTTCCTCCTCCTAATTTTCGAAACCGCTACAAGGGGGCGCCTTCCGAACTATAAATACTCGGCGATGTCTTTTCCCGCCCTCTTATCACTTTTTCCGCTTACACGACGCGATTATTCCTTTTCGCCTGATAACAAGAAACACAAAAGGACTAATATATATATATATATATATATATATATATATATATATATATATATATGTACAAACAAATGCTAATGTATTAACAATAAAGGTTACATAAACAACAGAATAGTGTTGTGTGTTACTGAACAATGTACATGAATGAAGAAAACATTTAAGCTAGTGAATTTCTTGCGAATGTGTAGTTTGGTGTAGGTGAAAGTCCTACAAGTGAAAAATGTGTGCGTGTGTGAGTATTATTCATGCGCTTTCCGAAAGGGAACGCGTTCTTTCGCGTGAGACTTACATGTTGACGTGTAAGCGAAAAAAAAAGTGCGAAGAAAAGAGCGAGAAAAGATATCGCCGAGTATTTAGAGTCCGTAATGTCCCCTAGTAGCGGTTTCGAAAATTAGGCGGAGGGAACCCGACATTCTGCATTTATGATGCTGCTTACAGCAAAAATATGTCCATTTATAATTTAACAACAGCTTTCATCTTGCCTTTGGGTTATGGTAAACAAGCTACACATATATATGTATGCATGTGTGTATGCATGTGTGTGTTTGTTTAATAATTTAGATTGAGACATGGCGTCATATATGGACCACTCAATAAGAATGAAGATTATCTAGGTACCACCACAGATTCGCGCAACCTAAGGTTTAAAATGAATTTTTAAAAATGAAAAATCTTTCTTGAAGCTTTTATTTTAGATTTAATTTTAAGTTGATAGATTAAATTTAATATCTCCAATAAGCAAAATACTATATTGTATTTCAAAACTAATTTAAACTGATTGGAAGGAGTTTTCATTTTGAAATTTGTAAAATTTTGAATTTAGAGCCAATTATAGCAAACACTTATGAAAAATGTAAATCCATTAAAATATCTTCCAAAAATAAAATATACGTTTTTGAAACTATATTTGAGGAATATTAGCTGATTTAAAGTTTAATTAATCTGATTTGAAACAAATATTACTTACTTTTAGTTTAAAATATCGCAGAAATACATTTTTAAAACGGCGGTAGCTGTTTATTATGTTGACAGTTTTTAACAGCTCCGTGGCCGCACAACGACATCTTTATCTAATATTGTTCTACGGTGGCTTTATCCGAAAATATAATTGAAGAATATAACGCGAGCGCCGTTTAAGTACATAGTAATCTTAAATATTTAAGAAAATGTTCTCAGTAATATAATGTTCTCAGTAATATAATGTTTTATTGAATGACAGAGAATTTTGGAATTAGTTATTGCTCTAATTTTAATTCTTACCTTATGTTCCACCACTTTAACTTTCGGAAAAGAGGTAACACTTTATTTTTAAATTTCGTTAAAAATCATTTAATCTTCATTTAATTACCATCGCCTAAAAAATACAATCATAGTATTGAAACATGAAAGCTTTTGTACGCTCCGGCCTTCCTCAGGTGGTTGGAAGACACATGGCACAGTGGATAAAGGCGTTTGTTAGATTCAGTGACAGGACCCAAAGAGTGTTCAATACCCGGTTAAGACAGTGGAGAAATTTCAAAGGGAAATTAAGAGAGGATAATTTATTACATTAAACATGGCACGTGGAACTAGAACAGTCTACCCCAGTGAGCGAAATGAAGGGTTTAGTTTGACATTCTAACCACCTGAAGAAGGCCGGAGCCTGCAACGGCCGAAACGTTGTAATAAATATGGCAATAAAGATGAGGACAATAGTCCGAATAATGTAAATAGTGTAAATAATACCTCATCTCAGAAATACAAACAGATAATGAAAGCTTTTGTTAGGTGATTTCAACATGTTTTTATTGTAATCTCTTATAATAAAAAATAATAATATACTGCTCTACTTTCTATTGAACATTTTTGTAAAAATGAATGCTACGAACAGTGGAATCTTACTCCATGTGTTCTTTCTCTCATTTGCATATATATATATATATATATATATATATATATATATATATATATATATATATATAAGATTATTACCTGTAGAACAACATTTCCGCCTAGAAAAAACAAAATGTTAAAACCCATGCCAAATTCACTATAATTGAGAGAATAGAAAAGTTCCGTACAGGTAATATTAGAAAAATTTTAGAGTTCCATGAAAATAAGTGGACACGACGTTTAAAAACGCACTATCCAAACGGGCTTAATCACAAATTTAACAATATAGATACTATTAACATATAACCCTAGAAATCAGGACCTACCCACATTTCTCACCCACACAAGACAGACATGATTACGGAGGCGTCGAGGCCTCAAACACACACACACACGAATATACACACATCATACTCACTCACTCCATAATGGGCCAAATGATAACACACACCCATAATAATATACAAGTTTGCACACATCATACTCACTCACTCCCTAAGAACCAAATAACACACACTTAACAGAGACACAGACCAGGAACCAATAAAACTGCCAAACTGACCAAGGGAATTCAGAACAGCATGAATCTATCCAGCACTTATCTTAAATAACAACTTAAAAGAGACTGTTTGACCAACACCAGGACTGACCAAAATTCATGTTAAAAAAATAAAAAAAAACAAATGAAAACTACAGACAAAAGTTCATTTTCTCCATCAAGACATTCCTTTCTGTAGTTCACTGATACCAGCAAGCAGAATTTTTTTCTCCTGATGAAACTAATCGAGGAATCTAACTGAAATAATAATAAAAACGAAAGAATATTAGTGTGTCTGAAGATTTTAATTTTTTAATATTTTTTATTGTTCAAAATATATATAATAAAAAAAACATGAATCATGCGAAGGGGTGATAACGACTAAAAAATACTTAGAGTAATAAAAGACACACACGCACACAAACACACACACACACACACACACACACACACACACACATATATATATATATATATATATATATATATACAAAGAAATTAATGACAAAGTGTAAAAAAAAAACAAAAAAAACGGCGATATTTGATCAATTTCATGAGGAAACGATGCTGAATCAAACAACATGAAGTCAATCACTATTGGATGTTACCGAGAAGTTTTCAGTTCAACACAAAAGTTTGACGAAATATTAGTTTTTGATTTTTTTTTTTTTTAATCAATTCTTTTTCGGACAGCGAATTTTTCAGCATTTCCTTGTATGTGAGTCGCATATTTTTAATGCAGTGACCCTTTACTGGTTTCCCGTTGCTTCCTTCACGGTTTGAAATTCAATATTTTCCTTCTCTTAGATTTATTCGCAATAGAGATTATAGTCTACTGTGCTATTTAATCCACAGATAGTGTAATAAAATATAGAGTCAAAGGGTACAAAAGTGAATGGATCAGACTAAACCGGACTTTGAACTCGGCTTTCCGATTCCATTTTTCAAGCTGATATCCTACAGATTTGTGGACAAAGCAGTTGATATCGGTGGTGTAATGAATATTTATCCTCCAGAATCAAAAAGAGGCCATGCATTTACTATTTACTTTCCTAACCAGTCTACAGCCTTTCTTGAAACCTCTACCTACTTTGACGCCCACAATTTGCAGTGATATCTTCTTCATCGCCTTTGACGCTAACTTTTGTTTACATCAAGAAAGAAAATCTTAAATTACAAATCAAGATGCGTATCAAGACCTTTGGATCTAAGATTAGAATGCTCTGGGAGGAATTGTTTTCAGTTGATGATGCTCTGTGAATTTGATATGTCAATCGTAGCAAAATAGCCACAGCCGAAGGTCACTAACAGACATTTCTCGAAGACCACTACGGGAGGAACATTATCCAATATATATATATATATATATATATATATATATATATATATATATATATATATATATATATATATAAAGAATAGTAAGATATATAATTCGGTGTTCCTGTTATATTTTATTTATTTTTTAGTTATATATTACTAAGTTTATAAAAAATAAAAAATTACTAAATCAGAGAAATAAAATAGCTATTTTTTGTCGTCATTGTCAAAAATATTCCTTAAATAATATTTAAAAACGAAATTAAAAAATGGGAGCTGGTAATATACATACTTATATTTAATACGAAAAAAATAATTTTAAATAATGCAAGTAATTCTATTACATTTACTTGTTTCTAAAAAGAAATATAGTCTATTAGTAATTAAGAGTAAAAATATTTTAAAATTGTAGTTTAATAAAACGTATTCTAACGCAAGCAACACCTAAAAAGAATCCCTAAGTATACATGAAAAAATGCCGAGAAAACTTTTTGCCGTTAATAAAAAAAAAAAACAGATGACATGCATTTAACGCATGTCAGAATTCGTTGAAAAATACACCGCTACCCTCCCTAAACTTAACCTCTTTTTCGAACGTAACTCATAATTGATACAACAATAGTTAATAAAAATGAACACCCTACCGCCCCTGTCTAAATGATTGGATTTCTTTGTATTCTTGGAAACAGGATATTATGAATTTATATGTGCATTTAAAACTCAGTAAATATAAAAATAAGTTATTCCAATATTCACTTGAACATGAAACGAAACTAATGCTTTTAATTTAATTATATAATTAAATTTAAAGTTTTAACTTTATTTACTACTACTGTGTAGCGAAAAACATATTTTAAATCAGTTAATTTATTATATATATATATATATATATATATATATATATATATATATATATATATAATGTAAATACGAAATTTGTCATACATACATACATATACACACACAGACATATATATATATATATATATATATATATATATATATATAGTACTCTAAGATCTTCCTAACCCTCTTTCCATTAATCCATTACATCCTTTTATCGATATATTTTAAAATAATTTTTGAAACCCTTTTTTATTCCTCTTTTAATTTTAAATTAATTATTCATTCTTCATATAACCCCAAATTAATGTCATAAGGTTAAAATTCGGGTTTTATTTTAGAAAATTTCTTCCCTTTAAGACAAATACCTTCCACCATCCCCTGGCCCCTGTCTCGTGCCTTTCGTCTGACTGAAACATTGTAATGGATAAATTCTGTATTGGTTTTTCGACTGTTTTTTTTTTTTTTTTTTTTACGGTTAAATTTCTATTTCTGACACGAACTCAGTCCACGTCGGGGCTGACGTAACAGACAACCGGTGTTTTTTTGTTTTGTTTTTTTTTTTTTTGTTTTTTTTTCTGTCAAAATAGCCTATCTCCATATGAGGTGATTTAGGATTTTATTGTTTATTAATTATATCTATCTATCTATCTATCTATCTATCTATCTATCTATCTCTCTCTCTCTCTCTCTATATATATATATATATATATATATATATATATATATATATATATATATATATATATATATATATATATATATATATATATATATATATATAGAGAGAGAGAGAGAGAGAGAGAGAGAGAATTAAAACAAATATAAAATTTAGCTGATTGATGTTATATTCAGCTACTCTACTCCAGAGTTTCGTACAGGAATCTTTATGTAATCGTTCGACCCACTCGTCAGGAGGTATCAGCTATTGTCTGTCGATTTTCTGTATCTGTCGGCTGTGAGTGGCAAAAAATTACTAAATGATGTTATTTCCGATGTCAGAGACAGGCCTTATTTTTACGATATTTTCCTTGAATATTCTGAGGTTCCGGGAAATTCCTTTTACATAGAGTTGTATTCCGTTATTTACTTATTTATTCTTTAAATATTTTTTTAAATTAATACTTAAATGAATACGATAAGCAAAGATGGCAGAGATTTTGAAAATCCCTTTTTCTGTAATTATTTTGGGTAAGAGCCTGCACAGACACGATGGATAAACCTTTATGTATACTACAAACAACTTAATAACTGCTTTTAGATATAATTTTTTATTTCGGTCGAATAAGTAATTTATTGTCATCATTTTTCCAGATTGGCCAGAATGGGGTGGGGTGGGGGGTTGAGTACAAAGTGGTAACTAGTTAAACGAAGTAGCTCATTTATCACAAGTTAATATTCAGGTTCGATTTCTTAAAAAACCCTCAGCGCATTCCCTGACAATAACTTTCTTAATATGTTTAAGTATTTAATTCCGAATATATTTTAAAAGAGAGAAAACGGGAACGATGCCTTTATTGCTTTTTTGTGTTTGTTTTTCATGTTTGTCATCTAACCGAACCCTTCTACATTCAACTTAGTTTGTCGACCACTTTCAATACTCCTTGGGCAGCTACATACCTCGTAAGAATGTATCACCACCTACCTCGTTACTCCCTAATGTTATTGTGCAAAATAGAGAATTGTCATCGCAAAGTTCTTAGTATAAAAAATATCTTACAACAATTAAATAGAGCAAAAGTAGACAAGCATATAATAATGGTGGCATTTTAAAATTTGTTTTAGATGGCAAATATCGATTAATTATTGTAGAAAGTGCTGTTTCAGAATGCAATTGAAACGACGGCTATTAACAATTAGCTCTTGAATTTACTCATCGATTTTGAATATCTTTAGAACCGATTTTTCGGCCTTAAATTGGCAACCTACCAAAAGGAACCATACTCCACATTTGTGAACAAAATTACCCCCTTGCCATTGAGTGAGGTTGTGTACCTAGTGATTGTTTAATTGACCATTATTCGCGTATGGTGCTGGATTTTGCCTCGCCCTAGACAGTCTAATACCTAAACTCTAGATTTTACTCATTACAACTTCTGATTTCTCTTAAATGTAACATTTTTAATTGAAAGGAGCACTTCTGGCCATATGCGATATTAAGGAGAACGTGATGAGATGAAATAGCTGTCAGCAAATGTGATAACCCAAGCTGAAAGTTATGTCCTGGAGGCGTCAACTTCAAACAGATACAGAAATTTAATTATCTGAGTACTAAAGTAAAGTGTGACAGAAATCTGAAACCGAATAGGAATGGCGAAAGATGCCTTTCGGGAATTAAGCAAAGTATTAATTGGTAGAAGAATTTCATTAGAAACAAAGAAATTAGTGCTGAACTACTTTCTAATATATAATCTCTTACATGACAGTGAATGTTGGAAAATCCTGTCACAGATAAAAAGAAAACCTGTGTCAACAGATATGTGGATTTACCGACGAATACCATGGAGAGAACATGTAATAATGAGGAAGTCTTAGAGAGACTAGAAACGACAAGGAAGCAGATACTAACAATCAAAAAAGAAGAGCTGAAGCGCCTGGGACACATGAGTAAATATGGCTTGGAGAATTTAATACACTCAGGATATATTAGCGACAAGATTAACATGAATAATCATGGAGTAACCTACTTGAGTATGTCCGTTTAAATAAAACAAGAAGTTGTGAAGAATAAAGATTGACTACATTATGAAGAAAAAACATGCATATAAAACAAATCAAAGTTGGTAGTGATCACGATAGAGGAATTTTAGAAATAATGTTATAAAGAATAAAGAACAGACGATATGACAAAATGTATGGCATCTAAATGTGTGGCATCCAAGGTTTGTATTTTGAAAGGGACGAAACACCATTTCTTTAGATTGGCGAATGTTTCGTTTATATTAAACAGCTGGGTACTTTCTTGACCGACCTTGTATTTTTGCATCGTCTCATAAATCTGTTTGGTGGGAGGAAATGTGCGCAGCTGTAAACTATATGATAAGCAAGAGATATAGTTTTCAATTATTTAAGGGGGTGGTGGATATACAAATTGTTATAAATTGAACAAAGAAAAACTGATACGAACAAGCCCGCTCTCTTTTTATTTTCTCTTTCTGTCGTAGACAATGTCTCTCTCTCTCTCTCTCTCTTTCTATCCTCCACTCTTGCACCCAATATTTCATTCATTTATTTTTCATACATCCTGTCTTTCTTACGATCAATTATAAAATGTGTCGCATCCAGCAGTTTGACAACCGGAAGTGGATTAGCTTCCTTTTCCAACAGTAGTTTCATCAAGTATTTCTTATTACCACTTTTTGTCAAGTATTTCTTATTACCAGTTTTCATCAAGTATTTCTTATTACCAGTATTTATCAAGCATCTATTACCACTTTTTATGAAGTATTTCTTATTACCACTTTTTATCAAGTATTTCTTATTACCAGTTTTTATCAAGTATTTCTTATTACCAGTATTTATCAAGCATTTCTTATTACCAGTATTTTTTAATTCTGATAAAACCACTAATTTTTCGGAAATCATGTACCTTAAATACATAAAACCTTGATGAACAGTCTCTAAATACTCATAAGAACCTTTGCTTATAGAAAAGATGATTTCAAACCATCGACTTAATTTCAATTAAGCTAAATTAATTAACTCTACCAATATTACATGTACACAAAGCTTTTTAAACATTTTTTCGGGCTCCTTCCGCGATGGGGGGAGGTCATCCCCTCTGGTTCTTCCAGAGGGATTGGTAGGGGGTTTCCTGTCGGAGTAGATGCTACGGCTGTAGTATCTGTTCTGTGCCGAAGGCCTTCTCTCCTCCCTTGTAATCCCGCCACCGCTGCGTAACATCTGTTACATAACGGTGGTATAACTGGCTATGATTAGTTTATTGTTGCAGAATAGTTTTCACAGTGGAGGCTTGTATTTCACCAAGTATGTCCTAAAAGAGTCCGACGTACAAAACGTTAGGAACTTGCAATAATAGTTAATGACGCAGCAATCTAGTTGTGGTCGTTGATACTTCAATGTCCGACATCGAATGACTCGACCAACTCCACTGAGCCCAACTGGCGACCGCTACTACTACTACTAATTATGTGTGGGAGAGTCTATTACAATAGAATAGGTAATGTTCTAGTATACCATTTATCAATGGTCAGATAAGACCAGCTTAGACTAGTGGCCTGAGTAGAAACACCGACCTGGTGTCACAAAATATGACTTGTTTAAACTTTCTCTGACCAGCTTAGGCCAGCGGCCCGAGTGGAAACACTCTGGTCCCCACTTTAAAAACATAGTGGGCAGGTGGGAGTAAGATAAATCTCGTGCTCCTTCCCCCAGGGTTATATATGCGATCCCGTCATTATGACAGTATTGATCCCCTCCCTGACCGGTAGGGTAGTTGGAGGATGTAGAACGTTTTAAGTCAAAGCAGTCACACCTTCCTTTTTCTTCTTTCCTTTTTCACTATTTCCTCTTGGAAAGACGTTGTCTTTCCTTCTCGTCTCAGCTTTTTCTTTCTTTTCATTTGCCGTAAGTCATCCTGTCCTTCTGTCGTGCAACCCAGTCCGTTGCTTTGTTTAAATTTAATATTCTGTTTGGTTATTAAAAAATAAAGATATTGGGAATAGAGTCGGGTGAAGAACCTTTCAGCATCTCCTGTAGCTGCTACGTTTGCATCCCGCGTACATTAAGGCGGTCCATCCACATTCCCTTTGTATTCCTTTAGTAAAGAGTAAGTTCCACTGGGAGAGCTTCTTCCCAAGAACTGTTGCTTTGTAGAACAGAATCCAACGAGAATGCTTTCCCGACCACTACGGTCTTAAACTCTTCAAGTCTTGGATTAATCGTTATCTTTCACACATATTCGCATAAACTACGCGCCTTACTCTTACTGCTTACGCAACAACCGTTTACAGAAACCCCCTACATTGAGTGGCCCTTGGGCCTTGTATAGGGTGAATGTTAGTAACAAAAAATATCTAAAATTGCATGAAAACGGTATTTTAGCGCTTGCATCCATAATCTTATTTTGTTTGTTTTAGGTCAATAGCAACATGCAAGAGCATTCGGATGTATGATATACTTGAGGAAAGTCGGAAAACCTATTGACAAAAACAACACGTAAATTTAATGATTCAGATGAATAACGTTTTATTAGAAAATAGAGACACATTCCATTGGAAATAATTCGCTGTTCTTAAGTAGCCTCATCAGATGGAGATTGTCATATGAATGTCAGACAAGGCAACAAACTTGTTCAGAAACCTCTAAACTATCAACTGCATACAACCATTTTCTCAGATCAATGATTAAAATGGCTTTAAGCTAATTAAGCCTGTAGGTCTTATCAAGGACAACACGCCTTTCAAATATTGTGTACTGACTCTAGAAAATTACAAGCAAAGGACTTTACCAAATAATAAAAGCCACATTACTTGAAGTCTTTCAACAACAGTGACAACTAAAATGGATACCACATGTAACTGGAAGAGAAGATAATGACATAATCAAGATGGTGACACTCCACACTACTGACGAGTGATGTCAGTGGACTTGAGTAATCTATTTTCCTTGAAAAGTTAATTTAATTGAAAGATTTTATAAATTCCACCACTGTGAATGAATGCCGTACGTTTCGTTATAGGAAAACGACCAATATTACCATTACTATTGTGTTAATTTCGAAGGGTTCTATTTCACAGATTGCCGTTTCGACTCTCCACTTTGTTAAGGGTTAGTAATTACGCTGGAAAAATATACCCTCATAAAAAAACGACTTTTCTTATTCTGGGTGAGAAGAAATTGTAAGCATCCTGTGTTCATGGATATCATTCTCAAATTCTAGATTCTAATCTTGAACTAAATGGATGAACATTTAAAATGATTTATAAGCAAATGGCCTGAAGCTGTGTGTCAGTAACGTAAATGTCTACTCAGCCCATGTCAACGTTCATTCAAATCGATCACATTGGATTATGGTATCTGCCACGGAGATTATCCAGGATTTGCCTTGTGAGAGATTCAATCTCCCAACCAGGTTTTAAAAAAAAAGGTGAAATTCGTATTTAATCCGATATGTCGTTTTTTTCTTCTTTATTTCGCATATTTCATCAAATAAACCGCAATCAACAGTAACCCTAGATTTCTTCTTTTTTTTTTTTTTTTGCTTTTGTTTCTTTTTCCGTTTTCAACATCTAGCATTAATTTCTTTCTTTCTTTCTTTTTTCTTTCTTTTTTCTTTCTTTCTTTTTTTCTTTCTTGCATCCTTCCTTGCTTGTTTGATTGCTTTATTTCTTTCCTTCTAAATTATACTCGCCTTCTTAAGATTTCTTCTGGTTTCTTGTATTCTCTCTCTCTCTCTCTCTCTCTCTCTCTCTCTCTCTCTTTCTTTGTTTCTCTCATGCTTTCTTTTTTTCTTTCTTTCTTTCTTTCTTTCTTTCATTCTATTCTTTTCCTTCTGAACTATAGTTTGTTTCTTTAGATTGCCTTTTCATTTTTTACGTCTTTTATTGTTAATTATATTGCCCAGTTGTTCTCTTTTCTTCTTTCTTTCTTTCTTTTTTCTTTCTTTCTATTGCCCAGTTCTTTCTTTCTTTCTTTCTTTCTTTTTATTGTCCAGTTCTTTCTTTCTCTGTCTCTTTTTACTGTCTAGTTCTTTCTTTCTTTCTAATGTCCAGTTCTTTCTTTCTTTCTTTCTTTCTTTCTTTCTTTCTTTCTTTCTTTCTTTATTGCTTTCTTTCTTTCCTTCTAAATTATGCTTTTCTTTTTAAGACTTCTTCAGGTTTTTTCTACAATCTACATCTCTCCCTCTCTTTCTTTCTTCCATTCATTCTTTTTTCTTTCATGCTCTCTTTCTTTATTTCTTTCTATTCCTTTCTTTCTGAATTATAGTTTTTGTCTTTAGATTGCCTTTTCATTTTTTACGTCTTCTTTTATTGCTAATTATATTACCCAATTCTTTCCTTCTTTCTTTTATCCTTACTTTTTGAGCGTCTTTGTTTCTTTCTTTTTTCCTTGATTTTAAACAACTTTATTTCTTGTATCCTTAGTTTTAAAGTGTCATAATTCTCTTTCTTTCTTTCTTTCTTTTTCTTTCTTTCTTTCTTTCTTTCTTTCTTTCTTACCTATAATTTAAAGTATTTTTCTTTCCTTTTCATCCTCAATTTTATAGCGTTTTCCCTTCTGGCTTTTACCTTTATAGTGAAAGCTTCTTTTTTTCTTTCTATCTCACCTATAATTTTAAAGCATCATTATTTATGTTGTTCTTCCTTTCTTGTTAGAACTGGACATATGGAAAACACGACAAATTCTTATTAATATTGGCAAAAAAAAAATGAATATAGACATTCTGGTAACATATAACTGATAGAATTTGTTAAAAGAATGATAAAAATTAACCCTAACACATAACCCTGTTTCAACAGTGAAAGGCATAGGACTGTTTTTTGTTTTGTTTTTTTTCATAGTGTCAAAACATTGGGTGTGGCCGGCGGAAATGCATCAGGTTCGAAACTGAGAGACGGCAAGTAATGTATGTATTTGAACGCGAAAAAAAAGCCCCTGAAGAGGGGCGGTTGCATAAGTTATCTAACAGAAGAAAATTTCAGACTAAATTTTAAAGAAACTTATTTAATTTATTCGGCAATTTTTTTTCCTTACTAAGTGTCTAGCTACACCGTTTTGAAAGTATTCATTATTTAATCGTGACAAAAAATAATCTACCTCGGGAAATAGGAATTTAATCCCATTAAAGTAATTCTCTTGCAACGTTACACACTTATACTAGCGTCCCTTTCCAATTTTCAAATCACACGGAAAAATTATCTTTCGGCATTTCCATCAGACGCCATATAACGCTCTCCTTAATCTCATCCACGCCTCTTCAACGGCGACTTTTTTTTGTTTTGTTTTTGGAATTTCAGAAGACACAAGGAGCCAGATTCGGACTGTCGGGATGCTGACAGACATGGGTGATGAAATATCATGCTAAATCTCACTGCGTGATATGTGAAGAATTTATTCTTACGATCATTGTGAATCCGACGATTACATAATACATAAACTCACTCATTGGTGTCTTACGAACCAATTGTTTAATCCTCTCGGTTATTCCCCATAGGAAGATCCGTAGAAAACAACGATCGAAATACTGTGAGAATAACAGCAAAGATGAGTATACATCCTTGTGCAAATTAATTGATACATAGTTAAATAGGTTCACAAGAAAGTTGTGTGGGAGAAGAAACTGTAAGCATAGAACTTACGGTTCTAGCAATTTCAACTGTAAAATCTGAGAACTACATCTTTGTGCAAATTGACTGCAACAACCGCTTTAGTTTCCTTTCTTTCACCATACGGTTAGGCTTAGACCCACTGAAGTGACAGAGTGTAATCGATTTCTGTTTTTTTCTCCTCAGATTAGGTCATTTGCATTGATGTGCAGGAATATGGATCTATTTTCAGCGTGTATGATGAAATTTGTTTAACCTTGAAAGGCAGAAAGGGCTCTCTCAGACGATTAAAAGGGGGCAGTTTTGGAAGCATTAAAATTGACAAGCCATTCCCTGCCCGAGTTAACAATATTATATGTCATTTTTTAGATCACCTGCCAATTTGACCTTATCGAACCGATCCGTCTTACTATTATGACAGGAGTAAATAGTTGTGTCACCAGCAGAGATCAGTTGAGAACTGATTACACCAGGAAGGTCATTTATGAAAATTAGAAACAACACAGTTTCAAAGATAGAAGCCTCGGGAACACCTGCATGTAAGAAGATCTAGAAGAGTGGCCATTCAAGACAACTTTCATTTCGCGATTTGATAAAAAAAGATTGTGTCAGTTGAGAAATTCGTCTAGAATTACCATAATCCTTCAACATGCCAAATCCAATCAAATACCTTCGAGATATCTTAAGCAATAATCTGATCTTCACCACCCATATCTAAAGATTACTGGACACTTTCAGCAATAATCGTTATATCAGCATTTGATCTAGAGAGACGAAAGCCATATTGCTAATCTTAAAAAAGACCCTGCGAAGCGAGATTTTTAACTAACTCAGGGTTGATTGAAGTACTTTGCCAAAAAGAGGTAAATGTCTAATAGGCCGTTAGAAGAATCTTAAAGATTGGAACGACAGAAGAGGATTTCCAACAAGCAGGCAAACAAGAAAGAATAAGTCATTTATTGTAGTGTTTAGAGAGAACATGAACCAGTTCAGGTAAACATATCTTAAGCAATATTGCATGGATAGCATCAAGTTCACATGCTTTGAGTGCATCTAGTTTAGAGCTGACAACAGAAACAATGAACAGAGTTATATACATAATGGAGTCTCAGTTCTAAAGGGAAAGTCTGATACTCCAGATGAGTCAAGAGTAGATTTTGAGTATAAAAACATTCTGCTTTATCAGCAGATGTAAACACTTCAAATTGAATGAAGTGAAGAGGGATAGAAGATCTAATCTTATTTGATACACTTTTACACAACCGCCAGTACTCACGAGAAACAAACTTGTCTGAGGCTATACTGTGCCTCATTCTATCAGCAATCAAAGGCTTAGCCTCTTTGAGTTCACGTCTAGACGACAATTATGATCAGAACTATTACGCTAGTATAGTAGAAAAAAGATTCTTGTAGGTCATAGCGGCTGAACAGAAAAATACGAACCAAAAAGAAGATTATGGCTCCACCGGTATTTCCGAGAAGGTATAAAGGCATGGATGCCGGCATTAACCGAAGAAGAAACCTCTGCAACACAATTCTCAATGAGAAGGTTAAGAATATCAATCTGAGGGGCGTCTCGAATAAAGTCACAAAATGAATCCCAATCAGCAGGCTGGTAAAAAAAATAAGTTTTATGAATCCGTTTAGTAGACGATTGAAGATAAATATCAAAAGATATTACAGCATGATCTGATTTGTCAAGAGGACAGAGCTGTGATGCTAGATAAGAGTGAGGAGAGGAGGTAAGGAAAAAATCAATTAAAGAAGCATGTTATGGAAACGTGTTCGCAAATCAACTTTTTGTATGAGAGACTGAACAACATAAAAATTGAAAGTTTGAATACCGGCAATGTCAGTAACATCAGAATGATTAAGCCACTTGATGTGATGAGCATTAAAATCATTGAACAAAAAGATGTTTGCGGATTAAGGTAGAGAGAGAGAGAGAGTCATTCATTTTGTAACTATTTGTTAATCTTTTCGGTCCAAGCAAGACAATAAAGCCACTAAGACGCACGTGGTTACTGAGTGTCAAGAATATGAAAAAAAAACATTATTAAGGCAAGAGAATAAAAAGAATAGGAATTAAGAAGACAGAAAACAACGATTAACATTGCATTTGAAGATCAAAATTAACCTGAAAGAAATAAGTCGCAAGAGATTTCCACAAGCTTATACAAAAAATATTCGCATATGAATGTAGAGAGAAGGACATTAATTTTATAACATTTTTAATCATTTCTCCACAAGGAAGGCAATGAAGCCACTAAGATGCAAGGCGGTCACAGAGCTGTTTCATTTTTTGTTCTAAATTGAACAATAGAGAATTTTTTGTGTACAATAGCATAGAGAATCAAAACGTTGGTTCGTGAAAGTGAAGATATTGAAATTGTGAGATCAATCCCTGAGCTTGGTAGTACAAACTTAAAATAGTGAGCCAAAAATGTGGATTTTTTTTTTAATTTAAGAATAAGACGAGATATCCCGAGATATGGACATTGGAATGAGACCAATTTTTGGCTTCATAGTAATTGTGTGTTTTATCCCTGGGCCGGGTAGTACAGAACCAAAATTGTTAGAAATAACTGGACAGTACTAAAAAGAAATTAAGACGAGATATCTCTAGACATGGACAGAGAAACGAAAAAACTATATCGTGTAGATTAAAAAAGGGGTTCAATTTGAAATTCGCTGAAAACGCCTGAAGAAGGACGTAGGGTATAACGGTCGAAACATTATGATAGTAACAAAATAGGGACATTAGTCTACCTATAAAACAAACAATATTCTTTGTCTATTGATTACTTACATTCATACTACTTTCTTTTATTCTCTCCTAAAAGTGTCTATTTTAATGCATTTCTTAAATTTAGATTAATTTGTTACTAACTTAGAGATATAGGGTACCCGATGAGAATTGATTTTACTACACAGTACTAATTATATACGAGATTAACTCGATAACAATGGCGAGGGGACAAAGCTTTTTCGAAGCTAACTATAGTGCAGCTCAAAGTCACAAGCATGAGGCACCTAGTGAGTATCGAATTCACTAGTAGGCTAAAGGTATAAGACACCTAGTGAGGATCAAAATAACTAATAAGCTGTAATTATGAAACCCCCAGTGATATTTGAATTCACTAGTAGGGTACAAGTATGAGACGCACAATGAGATTTAAATTCACTAGTATTAATGGCCTTCGATAATCTCGTTAACTAATATCTAACGACGTGGCGCTCTGCTGGGTGATATTTTAGTCATAGCTTTCATGCAACTCTTAAAATAGACGTATGAAAAGTTTTTTCTTTGAAATCTAACCGCCCATTGTTTTGCCTACGTACACAGAACTGAACTTCCGCTTTAAGAACTAAAGAAAAAATATATCAAAAGCCATTCTTAATAAGTTTGAAATACAAACCAATCAAGAAGTGCGTGAGTTGGACATATGAGAAGTGATATGCCATTTTATCGATGCCCTCAGTTGATACGAGAAAGATTCAAGAACATCGATTTTATGAAACATTCCTGCCTGTCTAGATTGCTTTCTTTTATCAGCCGAAGATCTTGCGATACTGAGTTGCGTGCAACTGAAACCTGAACCACTTCTTTCATGAAATGAGGGTCAAATTGGTTGAGACAGCGACAATCACGAAGTATTCAGGCCATAAACTCATTCAATATAAGTGAAAAAATTAATAAAAGACAAATTATGAAGAAATTGTAAACGAAGTCAGAGATATAAGCTATCTTTCTCTCTCTCTCTCTCTATATATATATATATATATATATATATATATATATATATATATATATAAGTTGTAACGAAGCTCAGAGCAACATTAAATTTTAACGTTTATTCTAACTGAATTTTTGGCCTTTCAATTAAAACAAAATAAATAAAAA